TTAACAGCGACATAGGTTAGTGGTCGCTGGGATTTGTGTGGTTTAACATCGACATGGGTCAGTGGTCGCTGGGATTCGTGTGGTTTAACAGCGACATGGGTCAGTGGTCGCTGGGATTTGTGTGGTTTAACAGCGACATGGGTTAGTGGTCGCTGGAATTTGTGTGGTTTAACAGCGACATGGGTCAGTGGTCGCTGGGATTTGTGTGGTTTAACAGCGCCGTGGGTCAGTTATCGCTGGGATTTGTGTGGTTTAACAGCGCCGTGGGTTAGTGGTCGCTGGGATTTGTGTGGTTTAACAGCGACATGGGTCAGTTATCGGTGGGATTTGTGTGGTTTAACAGCGACATGGGTCAGTGGTCGCTGGGATTTGTGTGGTTTAACAGCGACATGGGTCAGTGGTCGCTGGGATTTGTGTGGTTTAACAGCGACATGGGTTAGTGGTCGCTGGGATTTGTGTGGTTTAACAGCGACATGGGTCAGTGGTCGCTGGGATTTGTGTGGTTTAACAGCGACATGGGTCAGTGGTCGCTGGGATTTGTGTGGTTTAACAGCGACATGGGTAAGTGGTCGCTGGAATTTGTGTGGTTTAACAGCGACATGGGTCAGTGGTCGCTGGGATTTGTGTGGTTTAACAGCGACATGGGTCAGTGGTCGCTGGGATTTGTGTGGTTTAACAGCGACATGGGTCAGTGGTCGCTTGGATTTGTGTGGTTTAACAGCGACATGGGTTAGTGGTCGCTGGGATTTGTGTGGTTTAACAGCGACATGGGTTAGTGGTCGCTTGGATTTGTGTGGTTTAACAGCGACATGGGTCAGTGGTCGCTGGGATTTGTGTGGTTTAACAGCGACATGGGTTAGTGGTCGCTGGGATTTGTGTGGTTTAACAGCGACATGGGTTAGTGGTCGCTGGGATTTGTGTGGTTTAACAGCGACATGGGTCAGTGGTCGCTGGGATTTGTGTGGTTTAACAGCGACATGGGTTAGTGGTCGCTGGGATTTGTGTGGTTTAACAGCGACATGGGTCAGTGGTCGCTGGGATTTGTGTGGTTTAACAGCGACATGGGTCAGTGGTCGCTGGGATTTGTGTGGTTTAACAGCGACATGGGTCAGTGGTCGCTGGGATTTGTGTGGTTTAACAGCGACATTTTTAACGAATGAAAACAAATTGGTTCATTCCAGATAGCTAAGTAGTCAGTTTAGCCTTGTGTTGTCTGAAGATCAAAGCGAACTTTCTGTAGGGCGCATGATTGATTGATTGATTGTTTGTTTGTTGATTAACGCCGCATTCAGCAATATTCCAGCTATATGACGGCGGGCTGGAAATAATCGAGTCTGGACAGGACAATCCTCGCCGCCCCCCTGAATGAACTAATGTTGTAGGCCTAACATACAGGTTTTGTTTGTCTGTGTTTTGTTAACGCCGCGATCAGTAATATGCCAGCTATATGACGGTGGTCTGTAAATCATCGACAATCCAGTGATTGACATTCTGAGCATCGATCCATGCAATTGGGATAATGTGACATGCATCAACCAAGTCAGCGAGCCTGACCACCCGATTCCGATCCGTTAGTCGCCTCTTACGACAAGCATAGTCGCCATTTACCGCAAGCATAGGTTACTGAAGACCTATTCTACCCCGGATCTTCACGGGTCGTAGGGCACATGACATTACTGACATGCCGTTGCAAACGGCGTTTAGACTGACTCATTGTACATTGAGTATACAGAACGAATACATGAACAATATGCTGAACAATGATCAGGACAAGTACGGTGTTCTTCGACATCCCTTCGCATTGTGCTCGGTCGCAATACCAGGTCAGTGACTCGCCATGTTGTGAAGAGTGTTTCAGTCACAATGCCACACACTGGACATCCCTTCGCATTGTGCTCGGTCGCATTACCAGGTCAGTGACTCGCCATGTTGTGAAGAGTGTTTCAGTCACAATGTCACACACTAGACATCCCTTCGCATTGTGCTCGGTCGCATTACCAGGTCAGTGACTCGCCATGTGGTGAAGAGTGTTTCAGTAACAATGCCACACACTGGACATCCCTTCGCATTGTGCTCGGTCGCATTACCAGGTCAGTGACTCGCCATGTTGTGAAGAGTGTTTCAGTCACAATGCCACACACTGGACATCCCTTCGCATTGTGCTCGGTCGCATTACCAGGTCAGTGACTCGCCATGTTGTGAAGAGTGTTTCAGTCACAATGCCACACACTGGACATCCCTTCGCATTGTGCTCGGTCGCATTACCAGGTCAGTGACTCGCCATGTTGTGAAGAGTGTTTCAGTCACAATGCCACACACTGGACATCCCTTCGCATTGTGCTCGGTCGCATTACCAGGTCAGTGACTCGCCATGTTGTGAAGAGTGTTTCAGTCACAATGCCACACACTGGACACATCCCTACGTCACTGGTTGTATAAATACCTGTGAGTTATTGTAATACAGCATAAACAATGATATACCGCAGATTGGAAGTGGTCCTGCCACTGACCAGACACCAACTCGCTCCTGAGACAGCTGTCATAGAGATGTATTCCCGCATCGTCGTGATGACTTTGACTGAAGTGTTTCGACGTTGCGTCCTGAAACGTGAAAAACGGATGTACTGTTATTTCCCATATTATGTATCGAGGCCTAACAAACACACGTGAAGAATGGATGTACTGTTATCTCCCATATTATGTATCGAGGCCTAACACACAAACGTGAAGAACGGATGTACTGTTATCTCCCATATTATGTATCGAGGCCTAACAAACACACGTGAAGAACGGATGTACTGTTATCTCCCATATTATGTATCGAGGCCTAACAAACAGACATGAGGTGTAGCATACACAGTTAGTAAAGCATCACGTTTCCATTGGGGGTTTGATTAGAAACTTAAAGTGACTGCTATGCACCTGTAGACTGAGTGAAGACAGGTGTAGTGTCCAATGTAAGCCATGTTTACAGATAAGGAGGGGTAAACGTTGTCCAGTTTAAGGCACGTCGACCTACTGATAGAAAGGCAATTTCATACTCTGTTCAGTGGACGTCGCGTGTACGGCAATCCTTACATTGTTCAGTGGACGTCGCGTCTACGGCAATCCTTACATTGTTCAGTGGACGTCGCGTCTACGGCAATCCTTACATTGTTCAGTGTACATAATAGCAGCCAAACTCTTTCCCTATTCATCAGAAATAGCTGCCAAAAGCAGAGTCGATTGTATATTCTGAATACATGAGCATGTGTTCGCGACACGGTAAGCGCATCATGGCCGGCCGGTGACACCCATCACAAACACACGGAAAGCCAAGTCAAATCTCACCAAAAAACAAAGGGGAATATGGTATACGTTACACTAGGTAATTGAATCGAACATCATTTTGTCATTTATTTTGTCATCAAATTTGGAAATGTCCACCACATGTTTTGAAAGATTTGATGAGGCCTTGAATATTTTAAGCTTGATAAAACAACTTTGACGCCCTTTGAAATCTTCGTGGAAAGAGGATGCTCGACTTTCTTCAGAATTTGGGAAAAGTAGACATGATTGAATATTGACATGAAGGGAAGGTTGACCATTTGAATGTTGTAGTCATCCCTCTTATTTTAAGTCTTTTTGTGAATCTGTACGCATCCATATAAATATGAAATTGATGAGGAAGTTTCACTGGTATCTTATATTTATAGTTCAGATGGGTAAATCAGAGACAGGGAAATGAATATGTGACTGTTATTGAACGATATGAGATCATTGATATACTTGAAGCTGAAGTAACGCCTTTGGGCCAAATTACAAATGGCACCTTACAAATGGAAGAGTAGAAGCGCTCTGACCTGACGAGGAGTCGACGGTGAACAAATTTACAGACTGTTGATAAATGTGCCCAGTCAACGTTACGATTGCACGCACCTCCACGCCTGAGTGCGACTGTGATTGGTAGACATTGTGCACAAATGCGATTCTTTGGATATCATTTTCATCACGTTTAAAAGTGTGTTGTGACCTTTTGATTAAGTGGCGTGTTTGGACGGCTGCTGAAAGAAATCTGTTTTGGGGGATGAAATTTCGAAAAGGATGCAACAGGTCATGATTGTGTACCGGTGGTAGAAATCCTGGGCTTCAGCTGACTTTTATTATGTAACCTCCCGGGATGATTTTTTTAACCCATCGATTGTGTTATTGTAATGTAATCACCAGATAGTTTCGCGACTTTGGCGACCGAACCCTAATGTAAAACCATGCTTTAAGCTGAAGATTTATTGGTGAATCTACAAACTGACATTCCCCAATTTGGGACATATCCCCATGAGAAATGACCTAGTGATGGGATGCGTTGTCAAGGCCAGGTTGTCTTGTTTTTGTCAACATGCCGTGACACACATTGTTGACTTTATGGCGTGCAAAATGTTAATATTCCGCTCATACGGTGGATCCCGACCCCCGAATTGTGTGTGTTCCCTGTACCTCCGGACTCCAGTATGTTCCGCTTGAGTGTGTGTGTGTGTGTGTGGGGGGGGGGGGGGGGGGGGGGGGGGGGGCTGAAGAAACTAGATCGTGGGTAGGTGTGACGGGTGGATAAGATTAAGATGGTGTCCGGCAATACAGACAGAAACAGGTTTGGCATAAAGGTGCCCAGCAATACAGATAGAAACAGGTTTGGCATAAAGGTGCCCAGCAATACAGACAGAGGCAATCGTTAGAGTGAACTCTGGGAGGGAAGAGGCAATCGTTAGAGTGAACTCGGGGAGGGAAGAGGCAATCGTTAGAGTGAACTCGGGGATGGAAGAGGCAATCGTTAGAGTGAACTCGGGGAGGGAAGAGGCAATCGTTAGAGTGAACTGGGAGGGAAGAGGCAATCGTTAGAGTGAACTCTGGGAGGGAAGAGGCAATCGTTAGAGTGAACTCGGGGAGGGAAGAGGCAATCGTTAGTGTGAACTCTGGGAGGGAAGAGGCAATCGTTAGAGTGAACTCGGGGAGGGAAGAGGCAATCGTTAGAGTGAACTGGGAGGGAAGAGGCAATCGTTAGAGTGAACTCTGGGAGGGAAGAGGCAATCGTTAGAGTGAACTCGGGGAGGGAAGAGGCAATCGTTAGAGTGAACTGGGAGGGAAGATGTAATCGTTAGAGTGAACTCTGGGAGGGAAGAGGCAATCGTTAGAGTGAACTCTGGGAGGGAAGAGGCAATCGTTAGAGTGAACTCTGGGAGGGAAGAGGCAATCGTTAGAGTGAACTCGGGGAGGGAAGAGGCAATCGTTAGAGTGAACTCGGGGAGGGAAGAGGCAAACGTTAGAGTGAACTCGGGGAGGGAAGAGGCAATCGTTAGAGTGAACTCGGGGAGGGAAGAGGCAATCGTTAGAGTGAACTCGGGGAGGGAAGAGGCAATCGTTAGAGTGAACTCGGGGAGGGAAGAGGCAATCGTTAGAGTGAACTCTGGGAGGGAAGAGGCAATCGTTAGAGTGAACTCGGGGAGGGAAGAGGCAATCGTTAGAGTGAACTGGGAGGGAAGAGGCAATCGTTAGAGTGAACTCTGGGAGGGAAGAGGCAATCGTTAGAGTGAATTCGGGGAGGGAAGAGGCAATCGTTAGAGTGAACTCGGGGAGGGAAGAGGCAATCGTTAGAGTGAACTCTGGGAGGGAAGAGGCAATCGTTAGAGTGAATTCGGGGAGGGAAGAGGCAATCGTTAGAGTGAACTCGGGGAGGGAGGAGGCAATCGTTAGAGTGAACTCGGGGAGGGAAGAGGCAATCGTTAGAGTGAACTCGGGGAGGGAAGAGGCAATCGTTAGAGTGAACTGGGAGGGAAGAGGCAATCGTTAGAGTGAACTCGGGGAGGGAAGAGGCAATCGTTAGAATGAACTCTGGGAGGGAAGAGGCAATCGTTAGAGTGAACTCTGGGAGGGAAGAGGCAATCGTTAGAGTGAACTCTGGGAGGGAAGAGGCAATCGTTAGAGTGAATTCGGGGAGGGAAGAGGCAATCGTTAGAGTGAACTCGAGGAGGGAAGAGGCAATCGTTAGAGTGAACTCTGGGAGGGAAGAGGCAATCGTTAGAGTGAACTCGGGGAGGGAAGAGGCAATCGTTAGAGTGAACTCGGGGAGGGAAGAGGCAATCGTTAGAGTGAACTGGGAGGGAAGAGGCAATCGTTAGATGAACTCGGGGAGGGAAGAGGCAATCGTTAGAGTGAACTCTGGGAGGGAAGAGGCAATCGTTAGAGTGAACTCGGGGAGGGAAGAGGCAATCGTTAGAGTGAACTCGGGGAGGGAAGAGGCAATCGTTAGAGTGAACTGGGAGGGAAGAGGCAATCGTTAGAGTGAACTCTGGGAGGGAAGAGGCAATCGTTAGAGTGAACTCGGGGAGGGAAGAGGCAATCGTTAGAGTGAACTGGGAGGGAAGATGCAATCGTTAGAGTGAACTGGGAGGGAAGAGGCAATCGTTAGAGTGAACTCGGGGAGGGAAGAGGCAATCGTTAGAGTGAACTCGGGGAGGGAAGAGGCAATCGTTAGAGTGAACTGGGAGGGAAGAGGCAATCGTTAGAGTGAACTCGGGGAGGGAAGAGGCAATCGTTAGAGTGAACTCGGGGAGGGAAGAGGCAATCGTTAGAGTGAACTCGGGGAGGGAAGAGGCAATCGTTAGAGTGAACTGGGAGGGAAGAGGCAATCGTTAGAGTGAACTCGGGGAGGGAAGAGGCAATCGTTAGAGTGAACTCGGGGAGGGAAGAGGCAATCGTTAGAGTGAACTCTGGGAGGGAAGAGGCAATCGTTAGAGTGAACTCGGGGAGGGAAGAGGCAATCGTTAGAGTGAACTCTGGGAGGGAAGAGGCAATCGTTAGAGTGAACTGGGAAGGAAGAGGCAATCGTTAGAGTGAACTCTGGGAGGGAAGAGGCAATCGTTAGAGTGAACTCGGGGAGGGAAGAGGCAATCGTTAGAGTGAACTCGGGGAGGGAAGAGGCAATCGTTAGAGTGAACTCTGGGAGGGAAGAGGCAATCGTTAGATTGAACTGGGAGGGAAGAGGCAATCGTTAGAGTGAACTCGGGGAGGGAAGAGGCAATCGTTAGAGTGAACTGGGAAAGTGATACAGCTACACCTATTGCTCATTGTCCTTAAGCTGCAGCGCGCTTGAACAGAGATCGACGTTCCCCTTGATTGCTTCCCCAAACTGGCGTTGTTATATAGCATGGTGTTGGCCATTATGGTTTGACCTCGTTGCAGATGGACTCAATCAGGATAATGACCATCATGACCGTGGACACTGACACGTTGTACTTCTTTCTTGTGGTGGCGAGTTCACCTATTTCCATAAGTTTTGACGTGATCAAAGAGAGATGGACCTAGGTCTTACCTGGGATACAAACGACAAATCGCATAGAAAGTCCTTCGGAATTTGCTGAAGCAAAGTCTAAGGTCCTTGTATGTTCAGTCGGGTAAGCTTCTGAGCTGGTGTCAACATACTGGGAACCCATCTTGCAGCCAGCGTGATCATGCGAAATGCGTCCGTTGAGACGGACTTTTACGGACGCCAAACTGATCCCAGTAGTGTCTGATAATATAAGTTGTTAACCCATCACAAGGGATATGTGGTGTGATGTACCTTGTGTGTGAGCCTATGTACCCCGAGCCGTCATTCATTTCTGCAGGGTCGGAATATATGTCCATAGTTTTACTGAGTTAGCAAATAAAGCGACAAAACGCTTCCAATATCCCATAGAAATCTCTACATAAAGCAGAATTGATCGTACGATTCCTGAACTTGTGTTTATGAATCACTATCAGATAGTAATGAACCCAGGCGTTCGCAACAAGGTGAGCGTATCCTGTCCCACCGGTGGCACCCCTCACAAACACATGCAAAAGAAAGGCAATTGTTCACCTGAAAAGACACGCAGCAATCGACGCAAACAAATCTAGTTACTTCTCGTTACCCAATGCATTCGGTTAAACATCCGTTCATTTCAGCTCAACGATACATGTTCGAGATATGCATGTTACCTACGATGTGTTCCGAGCGGGCTACATGGAAAATAATTGCTCTCTCCTTAACCAATCAGAAGCTAGTATTGTAACATGAGATGAGATATACTGCATTGTAACACGTCGGTCAGCCTGAACCGTGCTCTGGGCGTCCAGTTTCAGACGTGGCAGCATTAGAACGACCAGACCGCTTAAATTCAGCAGCAATTTCTTAACAGTTGAATATGTGAGCGTGCTTTTCTTCTTCGTGTGTTATCTTTGGTGACAGGCCTTTTTTATGAAGGTACTAAATTACAGCTTCTTTCACATTTTCCCCACCCGTGAAGATTCCGGGGTAGAATAGGTCTTCAGTAACCCATGCTTGCCGTAAAAGGTGACTATGCTTGTCGTAAAAGGCGACTAACGGGATCGGGTGGTCAGGCTCGCTGACTTGGTTGATGCATGTCATCGATCCCAATGGCGTGGATCGATGCTCATGACATTAACCACTGGGTAGTCTGGTCCAGACTCGATTATTTACAGACCGCCCTCATATAGCTGGAATATTGCTGAGTGCGGCGTAAAACAACCAACCAACCAACATTTTCCCCATTATCGCAGTTTCTCTCAATCCTTCCACATTCCCCAGTTGACTTCTCGAAAACAGATGCAGTTATAAGTAGCTTGGTGCTTTAAGAGAAATTGATATTACTCTCGTTAATTGTTATAACACCAATGGTGATTTGTATTTCACATCCGGGTACAAGGTGCACGATGCAACATAACGTTCATAAAGTATGCTAGATCCGCTCTTTTTGGTCACGTGAAGTTTCTATTTATCACAAGAACACCAGATGTACGTGGGGTTTGGAGGCGGACAAATACAGTGCTGCTGTATCTTAATCTGTCGTCTTTATGTTATTTACCTAACTTTCAAAACTGGCTTCCAAAGGAGACACCACTTTGGTGAAATCAAGTGACATCTCGTACAGTGTATTGCTACAATGAAATTGCAGCACAATGCTTTCCAGACCATGGTGAAATAAGCGGTCATCATGACGTCACAATCAAATGACGTCACTAATTACTCTTCCACTGAAGTTGGCTAACTGTACTTGTTACTCAAGGCCCTGGGTGTTACTGTTTATAGACTAAAAACGTTGGAAGAATCATTGTTGATGCTAAATAGAATCTCTTTTGACATCAAGTATCTCAATACTCGACGCAAGCCTCGGAGGTTTAGACTTGCTCCAGCTAGATAGATAGGCATTTTTTAGGTCGATAGATTAATATCAAAAGACATTCGGAGGAGATATTTTATGCACCAGCCTTTCTTTGAACATGATTTATTACATTAAACCGATAGTTTGATTGAAACAGTATCCGTAAACATTACTAAACACAATGACATTTGAATTTCCGAAATCATCACGTCAGATGACAAAGTAGCGAATATTATGCTTTTAACATAAATGGATTGTATGAGATCACGATGTGCCAGAAGCACGTTCAAGCTCAGCCGTTGTTGCTTCTTCATATATTGATAACATGTTTTCAATCCGAATTGCCATTGCTTGCAACAATGTTACTAATTGACTAAAAACATTGCATTTGCTTAAAAAGCACTTGTATGAGTCTTTCTCATAGTCACAAAGTAAACAGGAAGAAATCAGTTTGTACACCTCGGATCCTGATATCTAGTGCTATCAAAAATCCTAATAGACGTTTCGAGCAATAGACAAACGATGGCAAGTTAGGAAGCAGCCTCAGTGTCTGAGCGGTACTTTTAAATTTGTACACGCCTTTACTATATTATCCTGTCATAAGAAACCGAACAGTTGACAGTTTAGACAAAATGGCAGCGTGAATTTGAAATACGCCAAATAATATGACACAACAGCATTCAGCTTGACTGACAAAACCAGGCCTTCAGTTTCAGCCCCGTGTACTCCACCCCTGGTAACACACTGGTAAGGGGAGAGGGCTGGTTCCAGTGATGCGGTCCAGGGCAAATTGTTTTGAAAGTATCACCATGACAAATAAAAGCAGCAACAGGTGTTCGCCCCACTCAACACACCACTTACCATAGTAACCCACGTGTCAGCACTTACAACGTAGTAAATGTGTCTGTAAGGGAGAACACACACTCCATACACACTGTTACTTGCAGGAACTGGCCGTCAACCTGTGCCAATCACCATGGTGTTGGGAAATGTCTACTGAAGCCGGGATATAAACCCATCGTGGTGAAACACCGGTGTCTGCATCATATTGTCGTGTATATAACTGACAAACAATCTTCTATGAAGAATTGAGCTCTAAAACACTTGATTTGTATTGCCTTAATTCATATTTAGCATTAATCATGTCCTAGAATCAGGGCAGAATCCACAGTCATTCTGAGATGCAATAATACATCCTTTGCATTGGAGTGGTAATATATCAGACCCCAATAATTCCAGGCAAATTTGCCTTTTAAACGCTTTATAGAGTATATAATAAAAGTATTTATCGAAGAAGAAATGCCGTATGTATGTACTTGTTGTTTGATTCAGTACAGCACTTTCTGTTCAGTGCTGGACGATATCAGGGTTGTATGGTGAGCCCTACATTATTTATTTTGTTTTTAAATGTCTTTATTATAATGATCAAACAGTCTGAGACTGAAGAGGTATACATGTAGGTAATATTTGAGAACATTTTACTACCTTATTTTTTGCATTGCACAGTGTCATTAGTGTAGAGCTTTCATCATCATTGGTATAATGCATACTGTGTGGCCTTGTTATAGGTCATGTATAATGCATACTGTGTGGCCTTGTTATAGGTCATGTATAATGCATACTGTGTGTCCTTGTTATAGGTCATGTATAATGCATACAGTGTGGCCTTGTTATAGGTCATGTATAATGCATACTGTGTGGCCTTGTTATAGGTCATGTATAATGCATACTGTGTGTCCTTGTTATAGGTCATGTATAATGCATACAGTGTGGCCTTATTAAAGGTCATGTATAATGCATACTGTGTGGCCTTGTTATAGGTCATGTATAATGCATACTGTGTGGCCTTGTTATAGGTCATGTATAATGCATACTGTGTGGCCTTGTTATAGGTCATGTGTCATGCATACTGTGTGGCCTTGTTATAGGTCATGTATAATGCATGCTGTGTGGCCTTGTAATAGGTCATGTATAATGCATACTGTCTGTCCTTGTTATAGGTCATGTATAATGCATACTGTGTGGCCTTGTTATAGGTCATGTATAATGCATACTGTGTGGCCTCGTCTAGGTCATGTATAATGACTCCGCTCTTTGTACCCGGCCCGTAATGACTATTGTTAATGTACAATGCCGTATGTTACCTTATGGAAACATACTTTAACAACGATATCGTAGATAGGAGATGCAGATTCTCACCTCGAATCTTTCAGTGAAAGTGAAATGCCCTTTCCATAATTATAACCAAAAGAAGTCTCCTCTGAAAGCAGCAAGTAATAGTTTGTATGAAGCACAGGCACATTTACTACTTTGTAAGTGCTGACACGTGGGTTGCTGTGGTAAGTACTGTATTGAGTGGGGCGAACACCTGTTGTTGCTTTAATTGGAATGTTTGGAACATTTATATTTCCGAAATGTAGGCAACCCGGCCCATAATTTACAAACAATTCACAAACAATATATTGGTGAAAGGTTCGCCTTTGTACATGTAATACATTTCTATCAATATATATCATCAACAAATGGTAGTCATTCACGTCAAAGTGTTTTTCAATCCATTGTTTTCTCACACTGAAACCATATAATATGTATGCACCTATGGTTGCATGTGATTCATTTGATAATGATTGAGAAAAAAATTGAAAATAGTTGCGGGCTTCCAACACCCTGATTTAACCAGACGAATACATACCCATGTTCAAACAAAATATTGCTAACAAATCCGACCCATGTTTGCCTTCCGGCGTGATTAAACAAAATATACAACCAACTCCGGGGGGCGTACGGCGTGGCCTTGGCAACAGTTGTGTCCGGTAGCATATACATTTCCTAACATACAATAGATCTAACGGGTACCTTTTACACGTTCCATGTTAATGTCCCTACAGAGGCGTAGATGAAAATAGGTGCAATCACTCTGTCAAACAGAAACATTGATGTATTTACATTGACCTAATAACGCTTAATAAACCTTAAAAGACAAAATGTGGCTTTCTTAGCTTGGGTAGACAGGTTTTCCCCCAGTTCAGTGTAGGTGTGAAATAGATAGCAGTTTAGAAAATATATCCTTCATAGTTGTCTTTTCAGTTGCCCACCTCGTCAAAATACGATGATTTTAATTTTTTGTC